GTCTAAACATGCACCATGAATATGTCAATTTGTTTATGATGCATTTCTAGTTTTGTTGCAAGCTCTGCCAGCACAGGCCTTTTTGGAATAGAATTTGTATCGATCACTTTGTTGTAAAGTTTTCCATTGCAAGTATATTTCAATCTTCATTGCAAGCTCTGCCAGCACAGGCCTTGTTTAATTAAAGCTTCCTAGATAACTTTGTTGTAACATCTGCTCCATAGTTGCCCATTTCAATCAAAGGTACATTGCTAACTTTGTTGCAAACTTCTGCCAGCACAGGCCTCTTTTAAACAAATCCTACAAATCATTTACCATTAGACCCAAACTGTTCAAGTTTTTCCCACCCTGAGACATTGTGGACCTTTTTTGCATACTTGAACCTTGATGCTGTGCCTCAGGATGTCCAAGCGGCGAGCTGAAATGCTGGCCTATAGTGATGTGGGCCCTATTGTCCTGAGTTTGTTTCACCCAGGCTGGCTAGAGCTTGACTCAGCCTGGTGGCCTCCTGAACCTCAGAGCCAATGAGTGCTGGTGTCAACAGGCACCAATGTTGGGAAAGAAAAATGTGCGAGCAATTGGTGTTCAATATGGTGCAGCCAATACAGGCCATGGTGCAGCCAATACAGGCCTTGAAGCAGGTAACTCTCTTGCTGAACATGTTCTTTATAGTATCAACTAGCTGCAATTTTCCTTAACTTGCAAGAACTGTTTTCTCTTTGACATTGCTGGTTAGCACTTCTTTTTGGATGTGTTGCCAATACAGGCCTTTGTGGGTACATACTTCTTCTTTCTTCATTGTCTTTCTACACATTTTGGATATGTTGCCAATGCATGCTTTCTTTCAGGTGTTTCTTTCACATAGGCTTGCCAATACAAGCAATTTTCATTGATCATGTCTTGTAATCTTCCCTTCTGTGCTCAAGCAAGCAGGAGGTGCATAATAAAGCCTGTACTTGTTGGTTTCTCAACATGGTGAATGCTGCCTGGCAGGTGGAGGATATCAAAAAAGAAGTGGAATCCATGCAGATTTTGTTCCAAGCCAGGCCTTCTTTGCTGGCACAAAGGGACAAGTTTGTCCAGCAACTCCAATGGAAGGTGGAGTCTGTCCAGCTTACTTCCCAAAAGACTTTGCTGGACATGTTCCAGCTCTTTGAAGAGTCGAGATTGCCTCAAGAGTTGAAGCAACACTTTTTGGATCTCCTGGACACAAGGGCAACTGCTGGGAGCCAAGAGCAAGCTGTGAAGGTGGTGGGCAAAACCCAGCAAGTGGACAGTTTGGTCAAAAATTTCACCCAAGCTGAATTGGATGCACTCTCCCTTAGAGATTGCTGGAATGGTTGTCACATAGTGGCAGTCAGGCTCAGAAAGCTTGGGGTGAAAAGCTTGAAGGAAAGTTCAAAGAAGAGAGCAACTGCTTTCTTGGCACTGCTGGAGCACAAAAGGGCTGGCACACCAATGAGCAGTGATGCTTGCTATGTTCTTTCCAGGCATTTGGCCAATACCTTCCTGAATAGTCCCCAGCTTGTGCCTGCTGGTGCCTCTGCTTTGGCAGTGTATCCAGAAAACCCTTTGGACCTTCCTGCTGAGCACTTGAAGGCATCCTATGGTGATGAGACTCCTGCTTTGGCCATTGTCCCAGAGTTGGCTGGGTTGCTGGGCCAAGCTGCTGTGAGGAATTCCCACAAAGGTGTCAAAG